TTTTGACAGTTCACAGAAAAAGAAATCAATGGGTTTAATAATCATGGGAAAAGTTCACCACCTCTCTGTTGGAGTAATGAAAATTATAGTCACTATAGCAAATATTTTTAAAGTCTGTCCATACCTGAGATTGGTGAAACTATTGAACAAAGAGAACTTATCACCAATACTTATAGGGTAAATTGGTACAATTTGGCAAGTAGTAACACTGAGTAACATATATCTTAAAGATATTTTCCCATAAATGTGTAAGAGGACTCATTCAAAGATATGTTGTTTTTGTTGTTGTTATGTGCCGTCGAGTCGCTTGCGACTCATAGCGACCCTATGTACAACAGGCCTAAACTCTGCTCTGTCCTGGGCCAATCGCACTGTCTCTGACACTCCCATCCCGATTATCCCAGTCACTGAATCAATCCACCTCATAGAGGGCCTTCCCCTCCTGCGCTGTCCCTCCACACTCCCAAGCATGATGTCCTTCTCCAAGGACCGGTTTCTCCTCACAACATGTCCAAAGTATGTTAGATGGAGCCTCAGAATCCTTGCCTCCAAGGAGCCACCTGGTTTAACCCTCTCCAGGACGAATCTGTTTGTTTTCCTAGCAGTCCATGGTATTCTCAATACTCTTCTCCAGCATCACAGCTCAAAGGCATCAATTCTCCTTCTATCCTCCTTGGTCACTATCCAACTCTCTGATGCATAACAAGTGATTGCGAAGACCATGGCCTGTATCAAACACACCTTAGTCTCCAGAGAGACACCATTGCTCTTCAGTACTTTGGAGAGGTCCCTAACAGCAGACTTTCCCATGGCAATGCGCCTTTTAATTTCCTGGCTGCTGGTGCCAAGACTGTTGACTATGGAGCCAAGCAAACTAAAGCTGTGTACAATCTCAATCTCTTCACCATCCATCCTGATGCTGCCAATTGGTCCAGTGGTGAGAATCTTTGTCTTCTTGACATTGAGCCTCAATCCATATTGGAGGCTGCAGTCCTTGACCCTCTGCAGCAGGTGCTTCAGGTCCTCTTCAGTTTCAGCAAGCAGGGTTGTGTCATCTGCATAACGCAGATTGTTGATAAATCGTCCACCAATCTTGACCCCACATTTCTCCTCATAGAGCCCAGCCTCCCGGATAATCTGTTCTGCATGTAGGTTGAAAAGGTATGGAGATAGGATGCATCCCTGGCGTACGCCCTTTCCAATTTTGAGCCATGCAGTGTTCCCTTGCTCTGTTCTGACGACTGCCTCCTGGTCCAAGTCTAGGTTTTGCATTAGCATGATCAAGTGTTCTGGGATTCCCATTCTTCTCAGAGTCAGCCACAGTTTGTTATGATCCACACAGTCAAATGCCTTTGCATAGTCAATGAAACACACAGATAGACATTCCTCCGGTATTCCCTGCTTTCAGCCAAGATCCATCTAACATCAGCTACAATATCCCTAGTAGCACAACCCCTTCTAAACCCAGCCTGGACTTCTGGTAGTTCTCTGTTGATGTGCTGTCTGTGTGTGTGTGTCTGTCTGTGTGTGTGTGTCTGTCAGTGTGTGTGTGTCTGTCAGTGTGTGTCTGTGTGTGCCTGTCTGTGTCTCTATGTGTGTCTGTGTGTGTCTGTGTGTATCTCTGTGTCTGTGTGTCTGTCAGTGTGTGTCTGTCAGTGTGTCTGTCTGTGTCTCTGTGTGTGTCTGTCTGTGTCTGTGTGTGTGTATGTGTCTGTCTGTGTCTCCGTGTGTCTCTGTCTGTGTCTCTGTGTGTGTGTCTCTGTCTGTGTCTCTGTGTGTGTCTCTGTCTGTGTCTCTGTGTCTTTTCATATGAACAAAATATTCAAAGATATATTTTGTGTAATAGTGAAAAAAATAATATGGGAACATTCATTGTCCATCAGCAAGAAAATGGAAAAAGAAATTTTGACATGAATTCAAGGAAACACAATCTAACAATTAAAACACATATGATCAGTGCATATGTGTGGATTCCAACTCACACAGAGTAGAACAGCCCCATCAGATTTTCTAGGCTATACTTCTGGTGACACCATATGACAGTATAGAATATCTATGCATAGTTTTCTAGGCTGTAGGAAAAGGTGTCCTAGTTAGTATAGTAGTACCTAGGGACTTTAACTGTAAATTCAAGCTGGTGCCCCTCTGATAGTTTGGAACCACTAGCAGCTCCAAGAGAGAGAACTATGAAAATATGCAATTTACAGCCTCTGAAAACCTGCTGGAGGGTCATTTACAAGTCTGCTATTATTTGATGGCAATAACTTATTTGCATTTTAATTTTTTTAAGAGACCCTGGTGGCACATTGATTAAAACCCAGTAGTAGTTTTAAAGGTTTATTGTTCAAAATGGCTTTCCTAGCCATTGAGCCTGACTCTGCCATGTGGATAGGTGGGAATATACAAATACTGTTAGCCTATACACAAGAGTATTGCCTAGTGTTGTCATTAAATTGATGGATCCAGCAGCAGATTTTGGATTCTCGACACCAGCCAAGAAGAAGCAAGAGAAGGCAGTACATTCTTTGGACCAGATATTCTTGTGCCATTCAGATTGTGGCCTGCAGCAGCTGGAGCCATAGCAGTCAGTAGCAGCTATTGCTGTCAGCAGCAGAGAACCTGAGGCTTCAAATGAGATGGAACTGAAAAAGCCAAGAGCTTTTTGTCCAAGTTTGCTGGAGGACTGGGGGCAGAGCTATAATAGGACTAAGAGCCTTAAGCCTCAAGGTTGAAGGTTGAGGTGACTATGAAGACATTTCAGAAGCTGTCCTGACCAAGTAATTGTATTCTGCTTCTAATCAGAATTATATATAGCCTTTTGACTTCCCTAATACATGGTTCTGCATGATCTGTGAGCTATTGTAACAGATGCTGGAGTTAGTAAAGCAGATTAGTGTTGGGATGAACAAAAAGAGGTGTGGGAGTGTGGGGCCATGTCTGACTTCATGTCTGAATTGGCTTTGTGTTGTTGGAAGGGGGGAATAGTTCCCCTTTGGGAGTTGGTGAAAGTCAGCTATGGTCATTGTCATGCAGCCCTTGATTTTTTTACACCACTTTTCAAATTCACTAGCCATTCCAAAGGAGAAAATCAACCAGCAGTCAACTTCCATAAAGATTCACAGAAAACCTATGTGGCAGTTTTACTGTTGTGGGTTTGGAATTGATTTGATAGCAATGGGTTTAATTTTTTTTTTTTTTTTCGTCTTTAAAGGAGGAGATTGCTAAATCTTTCTCTGGAGGAGTCATTCGGGTGGGTTTGACCTACTACCTACTTTCAGTTAATAGAGTATGGGTCAGTGCTGTTCATTTAAAAATATACTCAATGTATATCTCTTTAAACATGTATTTAAACACAGTAAAAGAAAAGTTTAAAAATGGACTTGAATTATATTCAACCTATACTTATGACAGACATTATCTATCTAGAGAAAAGTGATAATGAATGATGGAAAAGCAAACTTCAACTTTCTCTTAATGCTTAACTTCTCCTATTTTGAAAGATCACAAAGAAAAACCTTAAAAATTAATTATTTGTTAAAACTTGGTGATAGACTTTTAAATACTTCATAATTACTTACATTTTCTGAAAATGAATTAAAAAAAAACAAAACTTGATGGAGTTCAGTCACGGTTATTTTAAGAGACCAAAGGTAGTGAATACAGAATAAAATACTTTTTTCTTTTAATTGTAAATTTTTGAATTTGCTCTAAATTTCTTCTTAAATGGAAATTGATTAGGTATCTGATGACAGAATTACTTTAGAGTAAAGGGATTTTCCAACATTCTTCTGGTTTTGGGCCCCAGGGCTATTTGTATACCGTGGATTATGCAATCTGTTGTAATCATTCACCTGCGAGGAGATTGGAGAATTCTGGGAAGCATTTCTGTTGTGTTTAGTAACCATGGGAAAGATATCCACTTGGTCCTAGAGCGATACGTGTTCTTTTTCTGGTGTGGCCGCTTATTTTAAATTACTGGCACCTGTGAACAGAAAATTCTGTATGTATCGTTCTTGAGACTCCCTTATCAAGATACATTCAAATTGTCATTTGGAGTTTGTGTTGAATGCACAAATTACTTGTTTCCTGGACAAACCACAGCTGGAATCTTAAATTTCAGTAAAAAAAGGATTGGGGATTTAGATTATTTAGGGTTTGGTGTAGGCTTTAACGGTCACTACTAACGCAGGTGACTCGACGGCACATTACAACAACAAATACAATACAATACGTATTATTATGCCTTAGAACTGAATCCTAAAAAAATATTTGGGCAGGAGGAGTTTGTTATCTTTTATACGTGTTTTGTTTAAAGTATTTTGTTTAAAACTTTACGTTTGAATTTAAAATATTTCTTGAAATAGAATTATTGTTTACTTCATATACTGTGCCCGTAAGAACGGATTCTAACTTAAACGAATTTAGAAATCCCATTTTTTTTCTTTTATACAGACTTTTTCATATGGAAAATTTTACATTTGCAAATTGTTTATAAAAATTAAAGCAAATTTACCGTTAGTCTCAAGTTTTGTTACTTTAAAAATATAGTCTGTGACATTAAAAAGCATGTGTACAAAAATAAGAAAAAGAAGGCGAAAAGAAAAAAGCATGTCCAAAGAACGAACCAATTTGTCCAGAAGATGGCTTTACTTAATTTTTAACATTATCAGTAAATTTTGTCTAAAGCTGTGCCTAGTATGTCTTTCCTTGCCCTCTTCCCTGGTCTCACCTTTAATAGAACGGGGCAGAAAGTACTGAAAACTCCAAGGGGGAAACATTTATTCAGAGGATAATTCAAAGAGCTTTGCCGCTGACATTCCTCTAGCTTGCTTGCCTAGCCAAAGCTCATTGGCTAGAAACTATGTCTCCTTTCGGCCACCGTCCCGGCAGCAGTACGAAGTATTTTTGTCCTTCTGCCGCTACCGTCCAGATATTAGTCACCGAGTTGTAGGCTAAGGCAAACGTGTGTCTTGAAGGAGCCGGCTGGTGTCGCCGGCACCATGGAATCGCCTTTTAGCCTGGAACATCCCCTTTCTCACAAGCCAGAGGAAGATTGGGGTGAGTGAGATCTCAGAATTTCCAGGGGTGGCTCGGGTCCTCTTCTGTGGCGTTTTTCCTCCGTACTTCCGCCCATTCGTGGTGACAGGTGTGGAGCTCCTGGGGAGCTCCAGCTACTCTTCACTCTCGTTCTTGGTATTGGAAGAATCTAGTAGAACCAGTCGGTTTCTGTCTTGGACATGGCGAGAATAAGTTATTGGAGACAACCTAGGTGGAATTACTGTGTTATATATCCCGTGTTAATTTCCCGTTGAGAAAACCAGGTATCATTTTGTGGAGCGAAAACTTGACGTAGCGACAAGGCATTGGGCGAGATGTCTGTGATCGCCAGAAAGGCTCCAAGCTATTTTTGCTGTGTGTGAACTCTGGGTACTGATCGCTGTGGAAAGTATTTTTCAGTGTGTGTGGCGCGAGAAAAAGAATAATGTTAATATATACAGAAAATTCTCATCTCACAACTTTTGCTGTTGGTTTAGGCTGGGTGTCCGTTTCTGACAGAAAGGCAAAACACCCCAGCACCTGACTTCAGATCCCTAAACCGAATAATTAAAGCTGCAAAAAGTCCGACTGCTCTGTAGAAATAATTTTGAATTATTGTGGATTTTGATTGCCAGGAGAGGTGGGCCAGGGGGTTGTTGTTATGTGCCGTTGAGTTGCTTGCGACTTATAGCGACCATATATGTACAACAGCCCTAAACTCTGCTCTGCCCTGTGCCAATCGCACTGCCTCCGATACACCCATCCCGATTACCCCAGTCACTGAATCAATCCACCTCATAGAGGGTCTTCCCCTCCTGCGTTGTCCCTCCACCCTCCCAAGCATGATGTCCCTCTCCAAGGACCGGTTCCTCCTTACAACATGTCCAAAGTATGTCAGACGAAACCCAGAATCCTTGCCTCCAAGGAGCAGTTTAACCCTCTCCAGGATGAATCTGTTTTCGTAGCACAATGTTATAACTATACTTGGACTCCGGTGTGAATTTGAAGTTGTGTGTGTCACCCTATTGTAAACCCATTCATTGGAATTTGAGAAGAGCATTAATCTTCTTTCTCCTTTGGCATTCTTAATGGTGAGAGTGACATCTTAGTGACATTTGTTGAACTGAAGCCCTCCGTTGATTCTCCAAGGACAGAGCTACTTGTTAGAGATTTATTTCAACCCTTGGGTAAATTTTCTAAAGTTGCTGTGGGAGATTAAAAAAAAAAGATTATTTTTAGTGTAATTTCCTCAGTTAAATATAGTAGTCATGGTAATACTTACCATTTGTTTAGCATTTTTCCCCCCTAGGCACTATTGTAAAAACAGCATGGCAGAAGTGTCTGACTACCTCTCATTTTATGAAGGAGGGTGAGAATCACCATCAGCATTAGCCCAAAAAGGATTTCTAGCAGATGTAGATTAGACATGTATTTACTCTCCATTTTATTATATATTTTTTAACCAATTCTTTTTTTTTTTTTTTAATTTTTATTTTGTGTACGTGTACCGTCAAATCAGATCTGACTGGTACAGGAGGATATTGCGCCTCCTTGTCCGGCAGAGCGTCTGGTGGATTCGAACCATGTTCCTCTGGGATTGCAGTGCAGTTTCTTGCCACTAGGCCACCAGAGCTCCCCTTTTTTTAACCAATTCTGAAACCAACCTTTCCTTCCACAAGTGCCCTCTCTTTGTTGGGTTAAACTCCTAGACAATACTTAACATTATGGAGTTTTTTTAGGGAATTAACAAATTACAATTTAGGATAAAAAACTAGGATATAGTTCTTTGTCAAAACACCTTACTCTCAGCTGCACCCACAGGCAAGACTTTCTGGCCCTGGCTTTTCAGCCCCTGAGCCTCTGCCTGACTGGCCAAGTGTTACAAAGTTCTTTAGTGTCCAGAGGCACTCTAGTTCACCAGCAAGCCTCTTGCCCCCAGACACTAATTTTCCTTGGTCTTTGGTAAATTCACTGAGCATTGTCCTGCATGTCTGGTTCTACTGTCTGCTATTGATCTGCCACTGCTTTCATCATCTTTCACCATCTCCAATGGTATAGCTCTTTCTATCACCTTCTTTAGGAGGTTCTCAGTGCCAAGGATGTGTTCCACTTCTGACTCTTTCTTGGTAGTGGAAAGGCCTTTCTTCCTGCCCCTCAACTGAAACTCATTGCTCTCTAGTCAGAACTGACTCATAGCTGACCCTCCAACAGATTTTCAGGAGGCTGTAAATTGCATGGGAAGAGATTGCTCATCTTTCTTCTGAGGAGCTGCTTGCTGGTAGATTTGAACTATCTGAAGGTGCATGACCTTTGGTTTAGCAGTATGTTTTCATGTGGACTATGTCACCAGAGCTCCCCTTTCTACTTCTGTTGTTATTCTTAGGTGCCATCAAGTCATGTATGACTCATAGCAACCCTGTGAACAATAGATCTAAACTTTGTCCTATCCTGTATCGTCCTTATTATCCTGTCACACTTGAACCCATTGCTGTAATCAGTGTATTAGTCCATCTTGCCAAGAGTCTTTTCTCTCTTGCTGACTCTCCACTTTTCCAAGCATGATGTTCCCCCTCCAAGGTATTGCCTCTCCTAACATTGAGAAGAATGGAAATTCCAGAACACTTAATTGTGCTGGTGAGAAACTTATACCCTAGACCAAGAGGCTGTTGTAAGAACAGAGCAAGGACTTTGGGGAGCTCTGGTGGCCTAGTGGCAAGAAGCACTGCAATCCCAGAGGCGCATGGTTCAAATCCACCTGATGCTCTGTCTGGAAAGGAGGGACAAAATCTCCTCCTGTACCAGTCAGATCTGATTTGAAGGTACACAGACACACAAAATAATAATAATTAAGAAAAAAAACAGAGCAAGGAAACACTACTTGGTGAAAATGAGGAAAAGTGTGTGTCAGGGGTTGTATCCTTCTGCTATACAAATTTAATCATTAAGTACTCTGAGCAAAGTATTCTAGAAGCTGGACTCAATGAAGAAAAATGTGGCATCAGGATTGGAGGAAGACTCATCAATAACCTTTATGCAGATGATACAACATTGCTGAAAGTGAGGATGATTTGAAGCACTTGCTGCAGAAGGTTAAATACTTCAGTCTTCAATATAGACTGAATCTTAACATGAAGAAAACAAAAATCCTCACCACTGGATCAATAGGCAACATCATGATGGATAGAGAAAGGATTGAGATTGTTAATTACTTAATCTTATTTGGATCCACAATCCACTTGGGACCAGCAGTTAGGAGATCAGGAGATGTCTTGTACTGGAAAAGTCTGTAGTCAGTGATTTCTCCAAATTATTGAGGAGTAATGCTTTTTGGAGGCAAGTATGTTTTGTCTTACATGCTTTGGAAATGTTACTAAGAGAAGTTTTTCCTTGGAGCGGGACGTCATGGTTGGTAAAGTGGAGGGGCGATGAAGTAGAGGAAGACCCTCAACCAGGTGGGTTGCCATTATGACTGTAGCAATGGGGTTCAATGTGTCAGATATTGTGAGGATGGCATGGGATAGGCCAGTGTTCAGATCGGTTGTTCATAGGGTTGCTATTAGTCATACTTAACTTTTTGGCACCTAACAACAACTACATGCACAAAGTGTATGAGATGAAGCTTCGCCATCCTTGCCTACAAGGAGCACTCTGCTTGCACTTTTCTCAAAGCATCTATCTGGGTTTTTTTTGCCATCTGTGGGATATTTATTAATCTCCAGTGCCACAACTCAAGGCATTGGTTTCTTTTGCTGTCATCATTCATTGTCCAGCTCTCAGATGCATAGCAAGTGATTGAAAAGACCATGGCCTTGATCAGGTGCACTTTACTCTTTAAACAGACATCATTGCTCCTCAATAGTTTGGAGAGGTCCCATTGTCGCTATACTGAACCCTTTATGTATTTCTTTTTCACAACAGTCCAGCAAGGTAGATACTTTATTTTTATAGTTCAAGAAATGGAGGCTGAGAAGAGAATGGGTGCTATGAGTGTTAGAGCTGTGAGTGACAAAGGCCAGATCAGAGCTGGCTTTGCTTACCTTCAGAGTCTGTTGTTCGCTATTCTGGAATGCTTTCCTAACTTGTTTTTACAGATTTGATCCTTTCTATGACCATCCCCCAGATTTGTTGTGTCAGCTTATTAAGTATATTATTTTTCTTAAACTCTAATGTTGGGAAACTTTCAGGTAGCACTACCTATTCTATCTTCTGCTACACAGGCATTTTTCATACTAATGTGATTAGTGGGTGCCAGGTCTTATTTGAAGCAATCTGTTCTTTAGCACAACATTCAGTTCTTTGTAGTTTGTTCACTAACTCAGCTCTCGGGTATCCTGCCCATCCTGAATGTACCCATTTCCCATTGTTTTCCAGGTTCTTTTTTTTAACCTGTTAACAATCTCTTCTTAGTTAAACTCTTGAATTGGGTTTCCTTTGGTGTTAGATAAATGGGATAGTTTTTACAGGCATTAAAGTGAAACACTGCTGTCTTTTAGCAGTTCTCAGTAAAATATCAGTTTCCTCTCTAGGGGTAACTGTTTTGATGTTGAAAGCCTTCATTGATTTATTTAGTTTAAAAAAGACTAAGAGCTAGTCAGCTAAATTTAAAAAATAAGATCATGTACTTTTTGTAACTGTTAACACTTTAAATAATTTAAATAAGAGTTATTTCCTCTGGACAACTTTTAATAGGATGTGTTCCCTCCCCCCCAATTCAAATTGGATAATGAAATCTGAATCATTCAGCCAGGGTTCTGTAAACATTCTGTAAAGGCCTGGATAGTAAGCATCTGGGTCAAAGGAGTCAGGTGGTTTCTGTTAAAACTACTGAACATTGCTGTGATAGTGCAAAACAATGTGTAGACAGGGCAAACAAATGAGCGTGGCAGTGTTATAAACTTTATAATTACTGCAATTTGAATTTTATGCTCTTTCACTTGTATTCTTTGAATTCCACCACCCCACCCCACCCCGCCATTAAAAATGTGAAAACCATTCTTAGGTTTAGGCCTGTATGAATAAAC